CCCTTTCCTGTGAGTTCAATATGGTTCTGATAAGCGTTTGCCTCTTCAAAAAGATAGCTTGAGGGGGCATTTATTACCACTGCTCTGCAGTTAGTTCAGTTTGTTAGCCTCACAACACTGCACTTCTTATACTCTTAACAGTGCCGACTTGACTTACAATAACAGCTTTCCAGAATCTGATTACTGAAAGCAGCTCGCCAGGGGATCAGAGCTACAGGCTTTAAGGGTATTTGTCTTATTATCCCAGTGACACTGAGCAGACCCTTTCCTTTAGTGAGATCTACATTGGGGTCAAATCTGGAGGATGCTGTCTAAGCTGGGCCAAGGTCATCTGAGGTAAAAATTATCTGAGTTCTAAATCTGCGGGCAAAACTGCACAGGAGAAAGCAAGCTGCTGAACAGGATGGCTGCGGGTGTGCAGAAGTGGAAGGATTTGTGCTTGTGGAGTACAGCATATTGCAGATTCTCTAGCAATTTGATATCTGCCTTGAAGCCTTTTTTTGCGTGAGGAGTAGTCATTGGTCATTTTCAAAAAAGAATTATTTATGTCTCTGCAAAATGGTCATTTGTAAGCAAACATGGAAGTTTCTATGTACTGTTATGATCAACTGATGTTAACAAACAGGTCATATTTCTTGTTTCTTTCTTCTATGTTCTCCCTTAGAAAACGTATATAGGAGATTTTTTTCCAGACTGAATATGGAAGTCTGTTAGATAACCTGCTCAGGAGATAAACACTTCTCTTCAGCTGTGCATGGCTTTGATGCTTGCAGGGGGGGCATAATTTTATATTCAGATGTACCTGTGATCTTGTACAATGACCTTTCCTCTCCCACAATGCAAGTAGACAGAGTTGGGCCTGAACTGAGTTGCTGAATAATCAGATTCAGAACTGAGGCCGTAAAAACCCCCAGTTCATACACTTCAGTTCAGGTGGGCCAAATGCCATTGTCCCATCCTGCCCTCCGCATGTGCTGGAGTTCTGCCTTCTGGTGCAAACAGCCTGTGCTCCTCTGCAGGCTCCCATAAGGGGAGAGTGATAAGCAGATTTCAGTAGGGCCTCCTCCTTCCAGCAGCTGGGGTTGCACAGGATGGATGAGGCTACAGCAGGGCCTGAAAGCACAGCATCCGGTAGCCAAATTGAGGCTGGGCTGATGCTTGTGTGGAGCATCCTTGTAGGAACCTGGATCTCTTTGTCTTGTGCTAAAAATTAATCTGCCTCTGAGGTGGGACAGGGGCAATAATTTAGCGGTGCATAACGTTATTTCTAAAGAGTTTAGAGGAGAAAGGTACTCTCTGTAATTGAAAATTCATTTAGATAGAGAGAATGTAATTACCTGGCACAGTTAGAGAAGCAAAGCTATTGTGAGTCTCTGATGGAAGATGTCATCAGTTGTTTAATGGCCAACAGTGATTAGACTTTTTGTTTCATATTTCATAGAAGAACAGCACATTCAGCAGCCCACTGACCCCTAAATTCAGTGCAGGGACACTCAGTAATTACTGACTCAGAGGCAGATGTTCTACTAGCTGAACTATGATCGTTGCTTCTTGCAGCATTTTAGTATGAGCCTTATTTGGTATGAGTAACCAACTTTAGTAATGGTCCCATCTTCTCTATTAGAAAAGCCTCTTTGTGCAGTGCAAACTGAAGTTGCTTCTCTGACTTCATCCACGAACTGTATCTGTGCCTACCAGGAGGGAGGATGCTTCTTCTCACATGATGAGCTCATGTCTTTCTCAACACAATCACACTTCTCAGTTTACTGCTGACAGACATCATTGTCCCAAACCAACATGTAGACTTCATCCAGTGCACTGGTGGGACCCAAAGTCTCAGTTCATCTTGCCTTTCCAAAGCCCATCCAGCTTTTCAGAACTGTTCTTCCTTGGCAGAGCCATTGTGGATCAGCTATAATGCCAACAGCTGTCACTGCCAGGTGGGCATTGTACCGGTGTGCAACAATTGCTGCACACACCTTAGGCACCTGTGGTATTACTGGAGACAACTCACACGTGACAGGACCAAACCATGTAGTAATCCAGTCATTTCTTTGTCATTTTACAACTTGGTGCCATCTGGAGGATAGCACAGACAGAGCCTAACCCAAAAAGCAAACTACAGTATACGTTAAGATTGCAGAAAGAAATAAAACCCTAAAGTGAAACAAAAGGCTAGAACGCCTGCAGGGGGGAAATGCGACAACAAATATCCACAAAGAGGGGAAGCTGCAAAATCCAAACATCAGTACTGGAAATGACATCAGATCAAGCTGATCACTAATCAGTGGTTGACAGGAACAAACAGGTATACAAATGAGTTAGAAGGAAAGGACGAGGACTTATGAAG